AATGTTCAACCATGTATATTCCCAGGATATTCCCGCAATGTTCTGTATATTTTTTGAACATTCTGGGATATTCATAGAATATCAAATGCTATCTGGACTATCTCTGATCTGTAGAATGACGGCCATTTGCACCAGTCAACCTAAGAGAAGCGGCTAATAGAAGAACATAATCCTTGCGACGTTGCCACCCTTTGCCAATGAATAGGCGCGGTCAATTTCAAAATATCTACCTATACCATTATTGCTTTTTAACTAGGAGGCTGATAACTTGCCTTTACGGAGCCGCCTTACACAATTTATCGTTTGTAGTCAGAGACAAGATCACAAATTACCAAACTAACTCTTCTCAACTTTTTCTCAACAATATTTCATCTTTGGTGTACATGAAATTGTGTAGGTGCAGGCGTTTGACATTCATTGAAGTCCTTACGTAATAATTGAAGTCCTTACTAATGTTATAAAAATGAATATATTTAATGAATAATTTTTAAAAATAGTTTCTAACTAATTCAATAATCATCTTGGTCAGCTGTTAGCTTAAAACCGCTTAATCTCAGTCATTCCAATTTGTTTCTTGCTCTGTTATACTTGTTCAATTATACTTTCAATAACAATATAAACCGGAAAGTAAAATATATATGTTCTTAAAAGCTTAGGTAAATACGTTTAAATAATAATTTTTTACCTTGGGGTCGTTGAACYCTTTCCTTTTCTCTTATTGCCCGTTGCCGTTTAGACAAAAATAACAACTGCCACGCAGAAAAAAGGCAAAGCCGGAAAACGCTCTCACTTAATCTTAGTCCTCACTATATAACTTTACTTTAGAAAAAGGATTGAAGTCTCCCCATTTGACTATTGCTAAAACCAGTAGCCTAAACCAGTTCTGAGCAATAAAAAGCATTCTCTCAAAATTAGTCGGATAAGCTCTCTATTACTAATCTCAGAACATATACATATACTATATAAGAAGAAATGTATTGCGAAAAGCTATAATCACAGTTGAAATAACGCATAACATGTTTTAAGCTTAAACCGTAGATAAGTCTTTCAGCTCATATGATGAACTTGCAAGTATATACATATATATACATATATACATGTATGATCAATCAATAAATAATACCAGGTTTTTGAACACTTTAGAAAACAATAAATAACAACTACAAAATAATTTTACATGCATCATACACACAAAATAACAATAACGTCCAGCAGTAATTTTGTGATACATTCATTACTTATAAACTAAATTAACAAAAAAAAGATTTGCAAATGTTTTGCTTTATCCGGAACTTTTTTATAGAACGTTTATCTGTTTTCTGAAGACGGATAAATTAAATTGCGGCAATCAAATATTGCAATATTTTAGAAAATGAACCGGAAATTCAAAATCTAATAATGTTTATTTAGGCAATTATCCGTGAGAGAAGCAAAAAGATCCTATATATACTTTGCGGTTCAGAAGGCTATTAAATACTATATCATATCATATTATATCCTATATCAGTTCAATGGACAATTCTGAGTATAGTAAACTATCAACTGTGCTATCAACATGAAGCAAACACTGGGTAATGAAATTGAAATAAGTAAAATACTTTTAAGAAATAGACAAATGCAACAGACCTTATTATCATTACAGTTAATTTTAAAAACGAACACAATTTTTCCGGCTGCTCCGTAGGCGCAAATTACAGACTTTTTAAAAGTAATTAAATATTGGGAATACATTTTTTACATTAATAACTGCAATTTCGGCACACGTAAATGCACTTTTTGAAGCATTTTAAAAATATTTATATAATTTCCTAAATATTTATATAATTTCCTAAAGTTACGTCTAAAATAATATAAATACTTATCATTAACAGTCATAATTATGATCTATATTGGAACTGTCTGATATGAATTCAGCTTTATTTAAGAGAATATCTTTCATAATCTCTGTTTGTGAGGAATTGGGCTTGGTATTATGTTGAGTTGTCAATTTTCTTTCCTTTTTTGTTGCAAAAAAGGTGATTTGCTTAGTAATTTCTTTATTGGAAGGCTCTCGTACAATTTCACTTGTAAAACATGGAGTACTCCCTTCTTTAGCTTCAGATTCTAGCAGTAAGGTTTCTTTTCTTAGCGTCTTTAATAAATGTTTCAAAGCATCATTACTTATTAAAGCGTCTTTGGAGACAATATTTTGAATTTTACTTGTCTCAGACAAAATATTATCCACAAGCCTTTGTCGGCTTTCTGTCGTGTTACTCTTACTAGAACTTAACGTTTTCAAATGCGTTTTGACTTCTATGTCAGCATTACTTGAACAAGGTTGAGGTGTGCTGCTAGAAAAGTTACGATCTTTTGCTACCGAATGGATATGCTTGCAAATTGTATGTTGTATAAAGTAGTCTAAACATGTACAGCAATATGCGTGTATGCATATCCTGCAAAGGGAGCACTGCAATATGCAACATATATTGGAATCTATATTTTTCGTGACTATATATACATTGCAGTGATCATTTTCGGAAGATACCATCCACGCCTCTTTCTCATGGTCACTTTTTAAAATAATTGTCATTTTCTCATTAAGAGCGTTAGAATGCCTAGAGTTAATTTTCTTCATGTGATAAGAATTTTTGCCTTTAACACGTTTGATAATGCGCTCAACTATTTTATCTCTTATAAATTTATTAAGAGCAAATAAACCGTTGTCCAAACGTTTGGTTTTTTTGCCATCCAAATAAATATGCTTCAATATTTTATGCATATTTTCGAGCCTCACATTAGTGTTAATACCGCAGTTACGGCGATAACAGTAAGCCCATTTTCTTGAATTGCCAACATAATTATTCTTAAAATAGTCACCAAATACAGAACTATCTTGATCCGAGTCTAACTCTGTTATGGTTTTTCTAAGCAACAAACAAAACTGTGACTTATCTGTGTTTGTTTCCAACATTTTTAGAGCATGGTAGACAGATTTCATTTTATTAACATCAGTTATTTACTTACCATTACGGTTGCAGTTTAAATATGTGACTTCTAAGTCACCCCGTCGTTTTTTCCCTTGATGTTGTACGTACTCAACATTATTGCTATTCTGAAAGTCATTCAAGTACGCTTGAAAATCTATAAAAAGTTAAATTTAAGTACAATTTATGCTGCAGCTGTAGTTCATGATCATACCTTCCATATTAGGAAAACATTTTTGTTCTGTACACATTTCGAAAGTATGCACTACTTGTAGGTGCGTTCTAAGGTCTTGCGTAGCAGCAAAAGAAATATTGCAGCCTTCTAGGCACTTAAAAGGTTTTATGCTGCCCTTTTATTATGCCCAGTAACGGGCTATAATAGCAGTCACAGAGCACGAAACTTTTAGCACTAATGCACAAAACAGACTAAGCATCACTCTCTGCTTATGCGGAGCCAAGATCTTGCCTACAAGACAAGGAGACAATTAATTAAACCAAAATTCTAAAGCCCAGTGGTGTTCCTGTGGACATTCTGGTCAGCATTTCAAATTTAAATTTCAACTCATTTAGCAAATTTAAAAAGTAATTTACCTATTAATTTCCAACAGACTGAAATTGTTTCCGATCAAACAAAATACATATAGAATATCGTTCAAACTATAGTATTGAAAATGAAGACCATATAAATTGAAAAGGAATTATTTATTAATTTCATATAAACAGTATTTATTCCTATTCTATAAAGACTATCGACCACATTAGGCTTTCTGCCATTCTAGTTAACATTCTCATAAAAACTTTAATTAGAAAACTCATAAAAACAGAATCACCTCATGAGCATTTTAAATAATACCCTGTATAGCATGGCAAAGAAACGGTGTATGGAGAATTTCAGGATCCAAATTCAAATTTGAGATAGCGTGGCAAGGCAACGTCGCAAGGATTCTGTTCTCTTACTAGCCGCTTCTAACCTTAGGCTTGTGGGCTTTCTTGTGTCACACAATAAAGCACACTTCAAATAAACAACTTTTAATCAACTAACAATAAATAGAGCGTAAGCGGGGTGTGCGCGCGCGAAAGTGCAAATGGAGACCCCCCGTTGAGAAGGAACGCTGAGCGTCTCTCCTTGGGCGTTGTCCCTTCGAGAGAGAGATGTCTGCGATGTTGTCTCTCTCACCGCGGCCTATTGGTATGCCTGGCATCCAGCAGGGTTTTGGGGGCGAATGCGTGTTGTCCAGATTCGCCACAGGGCTCCCCCCCAGCGAAGTAGCCATCGGTTGTGAGCGGTTCTTTGGCTTCAGTATCTCAGAGTCGGTTGGCGTAAGAATGCTTGCCTTCCGGACCCGGAATTTTGACTTCTCTTGGTTTATTTGAAGGTTATTAGCTTTCAGAATCCGGAGTACTGATGCTAAATGCTGCTCGTGGTCCGCTTCCGTTTCTGAGGCCACAAATATGTCGTCAATATATATATATACACAAAGGGACACAAAGGGTCTGCGCGGCGTTCCTCAGGCCAAAGGGCATCCGCAAGAACTCGTACAGGCCAAAAGGTGTAATTACTGCAGTGTTCTGTATGTCTTTCGAGCGGACTGGGATCTGGTAAAATGCACGTACAAGATGTGGAGAAAATGGTGGAGAAAATCTGCTTACCATGAAGTTGGTTAGCGAAATCTTGTACGTGCGGTACGGGCGTTATGGCATTTAAACGCCGGAAATCACCGCAGGTGCGCCACTTGCCGTTGGCTTTTTGGACCGTGTGGAGTGGACTGGCCCAAGGTGAATTTGACGGTCGGACAATTCCTACTCGCATCAGGTAGCCAAATTCTTCTCGTGCGGCCTGTAGTCTGTCTGGCGGGAGCCGCCGAGCTCTCGAGAATATTGGCAGCCCTTCAGTCTCGATGTAGTGCTCCACTCCACCATGGCCCGTCAGCGTGCTAGGTAAGCGGTTGTAAGGATGGCCAGCGGATAATCCTACTACTTCCCTCGCTGTCACTCGCCGGGAAATGCAACCTATGCTATTGGGGGCAGTTGGGCCTACCAGGCGCTTATTGCGCATATCGACTGTGATGCCGTGGTGCGTCAGGAAGTCGGCACCCAGGATTGCGGTGGTCACGTCTGCGACTGCAAAGGTCCATTTGACCGGTTGGCCAAAGGCAAGATGCAGCTTCAGCTGCTTCTGTCCATAGGTTTTTATGCAGGAACCGTTGGCGGAGTACAGGCAATCGGTGGCGGGGTGTGTGGAAGGGCAGATCCTGCGTAGCAGTACACTGATGTCAGCTCCCGTGTCGATGAGGAACTGAAGCTGTAGGTTCTTGTCCGTAATGAATAGGCGACGTGGTACCTGGGCTGTGGCTGTTGTCGCCGCTACAACGCGCCCCGGCCGT